AAAAAAAAAAAGGAGAAAAATATCAGAAAAGTTGATGGAACTGGAAGAAAATGCTAAATTGGAAACAAAACTCAAATCCCACAGCCCATAGGCAGCCTCCATTCACAATTTTTTTGGAATTAAATAAATTTGTCTCCTCTAAAACAGAAATCGTAACAAATGGCGACGATGCTGTCTCCGTCGGCAATGATCCCAGGCGGCAATCCTCGTCTGAACCTTCTCAAACTCCGACACCCGGCAAGGTATCGTGATTCCACCACAATGATTAAACCCGTACTCGTTCTCTGCTTCCTTCAACAGCTCACCGAACAACGGATGATTAAAATATATCACCGGCACCACCACCCTCCTCGTGTCATCTACCGATTCGCCCACGTACACCGCCAGATGCCCCTTCGGTACTCCCACCCGTTTCCCTCCTTCCTTACCCAATTGGATACAACCCGTAACAGAGTTCGATCCACACAGTCCCTTTGCTCCGCGACGTAGAAACCGTGCAAAAGAACAGATTTTGGACAATGCCTTACGGGTTCGGGACGAAGGGTCCAAGAGATGGAACCTGTTTTGCCTTCTTCTGGGTTGGACTATCCATTTGGAGACCTTAACGAACTTCCGCCCAAGCTTAAAGCCTCTGAATTTCTTCATGGTGTTGATTAAGTAAGTAATTATTGCAGCTTCAGTACGTGTGGTTTTCAGAAAGCAATGGCCGGGGATGGGTTCGGAAATGGGAATGAGATTTCCTTTGATTTTAGAGGTGTTATATATACATAGGAGTCTTTTTGAGTTGAGGAATGACACAAGTTGAAGAGAGGAAGATGAGATGTGGACTTGAGGCATGTGGTCGGCCCCAGGCACGCGAGGTTGTCGGCAGACTTTGTTGTTTGGAACATTGGACAAATGAGAAAGATAATGATAGAATAGACTACTTTTGTAAGATGAAAGTAGAAGATTATTTACTTAACAAGTTTAAATTGGTCATTTAATTTACTTTACGTTACGAGAGTTACGTGTTTATTTATATAATAAGTCATTCGATTTATGTGATAAGTGAGTTATACATGCCTGTTTACATAATAAATTACGCAATTGTTCCTTAAAATCATCTCTTAAAATCATCTCTTAAAATCATCTTTAAAAAATCGTCTTCTGAATCATTGTCTAAAAGAGAATAATAATTTTCCTTCTTTTTGGCGTATAAATAATTTGGAGTTTTTTTTTTTTCTTGAATGCAATAACACTAATAATGTGGTGTTTCTTTAAGATTAGGTGTGGAAAAATTATTATCAAAATATTTGAAATCTTGTACTAAATATGGTGACGGTAAATATAAAAAGTAATAATTTAATTATTTTATTTTGTAATTAAATCCTAATATTAGGATTTATTTTTATATAATATTTTAAATTATGTAATTTAATATAAGTTGAGTGATATAATAATTTTTAAAATATTTTTTTAAATTGTGTTTTAAAGTATAGGTTAAAGGTATTTTTTTATTATAAATATATATATAATAGAATGATATAAAAAATGGTCTTGATTTTAATGTTAATTTTAAATAGATAATTTAATATAAGTTGAGTGATATAATAATTTTTAAAATACTTTTTTAAATTGTGTTTTAAAGAATAGGTTAAAGGTATTTTTTATTATAAATATATATAATAGAATAATATAAAAAATGGTCTTAA